TCTCTCTTTCTCTCTCTCTCTCTCTTTCTCGCTCACTCTTTCTCACTTTCTCTCGATATTTTTCTGTTTGATCACTCTTCGTACGCACAGGAATGTATTATTAAGTCTTATAATTGAGCCACATTCGCTGCGAAAAATCACGGCGAGATTCGTGTCGAAAAACGTCGAAACGGGAAACATCGCGACCGCGAATGAATTTTGATTGAATTAAATTTGATTAGACATTTTTGTATTCGGTCGGACGTACGTATCGATCGCTCGATAGGGACGAGATTTCGCGCGATTCATGGAGAGATAAGAAAAGGAAAAAAAAACTTTTTGATTTTGACCGCGTCGATCAGTCCCTCCTACACTTGTGTGACTCGCAATTCCTGTTCAGAGCGCGTATCCGGCCGGCGATCGCGAGTGAAGTTTTCTCGTCGTTTCTCTTAGATCAGCGTAAATCATCGGTGAAGTGTACGCGCGAAACAGTGGCGACACATTCCTCCGCCGATTTTGACTGCGTCGGTCTGAAGAGTTCCAGAAATGCTCGACGCAGAAATCTCCAACAACAGATAGATCCTAACTTGTGTTTTCTGAGTTACAACGTTATAAAAAATCTATGAGTTCTAAGATAGATCGCATCTTAATACGTTAATTATTATGATATATTTCCCCGTTCTCTCTCGCATTACAATTGTATGTATATCGTAATAAACCTACTGTCTAGTGATTTATCGCTAGATCCTATATTACGTGCAATGTGGATTACTACGTGATCAGATCTAGGGTCTTGCTTTCTCTCTCGTATTTTCTCGCCTCGAGATAATGGGGGGCCGGAAGGATCACGGGAACAAAACCGATCGACGGTATTTCGGCGATCGAGATTTCATCGATCTCGCCAAGTGAGCGGAGAGACGAACGATCAGGCGTTTCTACCGTTCGCGAAAGTAATTCGACGAAAATACCAAATTTGAGATCGAGTCGACACACCGAAAGATCGCCCTATAATTTAACATTAATTGGCGAAACGAAACATCGACCTAAAGTTCCAAGTTTTAACGGTGAATTGCGACGGCTATGTACACACGGTTCACTTGCAAAACGCAGCGAGTGCTCTCGTCATTCTTTTCAAGAAGTTTTGTTATGCATATTTAAAATATCGCTGATGTCTTGTGGGAGAAATATAAATGAAATTTTAAAAACGTGTAAAAGATAAGACTTTCACGCTTCACAATATGAACGATTTGTGCAATTTACAGCACGGATTTAAGCACGAGGAACGATTAACCGACGTTTTGTGAAAGGAAATTTGAGAAACTCGTATAATGAAAAAAGGTGACTTTTTCCTCACCCATTAGTTTTGCAAAGGAACCTCTTGTAACTTTTTCATACGCTGAGAAAAGGATACTTGGAAATTTATTTGTGAGATATAAAGTTTATTTCTGTGAGAGAGTAAACTTTGTAACTTGTGAATAAATTTTCAAGTGTTTCCTTTCCTCAGTGTACTTGCTCGATCTTTCGAATCGTACTTTCCGCATGTCGACATTTAATATTACCTTAATGCATAACGAACGCTTGTTACTCATCTATCATTTAATTATACGTACGTATGTTTTTTTTCCATACTCACTTATCTATACACGAGTTCCATCTTTAGTACACTTTAATCTATAACGTCCGTTGTCCGTGATCGTTGATGTCCACTTGGATTACACTTTGTTTGATCAGAGTTTATTTTGACGCGTTTTGATTTTCGAAATGAAATTACTCGATGCAGAGCTCGAACGAATTTCTGGCAGTGAAACGATGTATTTGGAAGAGAAACATTTTATTCTGCATAAAAGCAGCGTTTTGATTATCGAACGACAAAGCAAGACACATCTCTGTCTTTCTCTCTCTTTCTCGCTCGCTCTAACGAGTCATTTGACAAGAAGAATCCCTGTTTGCAATAAACAAACAGAAACATATCGAGAATAGACCTATCTACGCTGAATAAAGTCTTGTAATAGTTAACAAATGCATTTGGTTGAACGTTTTAGTGCAATATTTGGTAATTAGTGTCGAATATAGTAATAGTTACCACACACAAACATCTGGTGATAATTAAAAAATAATTCGTAAAGTAAATTCTTCATCTAGTTAAATCAATCAACTAGATTTAACAAAAAAATCGTACCAAATAATTTGGTAATAACTAATGAATAGTTTGATCAGCACCCAAGTATTTGGTCACCCTTCGTATACTTACCACACAATGTGATGAGTATTACTGAACAATACGGTTTTATTCAAAACACATTATTTGGTGACACATATTATATAAATTGGTAGCAACCAATAAATTTGAGCAACAGAGAGATACTAAGTTTTGGTGATAAGAAAGATTACTTGAAAATTAACTAATGGGATATTGATTAAATTGATTGATTTATGAGTGATTAAAACTCGGTAAATTATTTAATTGTATTTATCTAGACGTTCAGTTGAAACTGTTTCACCGAGGCATCTGGTAACTATTACCCAGGCTTGATATCATCAAGCCTCTTTCCTTTTTCAGAGTTCTGTCGTTACTAAAATTATCAGTTGCCGCAGGCATCTCATTTCTTTCCGCAGGATAACGATTCCGTATACACTGTAAACGCTCCTGACGATGAGAACGTATTACACTTTCGCATAGAATTTCGCACGAGTCAAACCAACAACCGAACAATTCGGGCAAAACCACTAACACGCGTATAATTCAGGAGATGTACAGAACATATCTCGACGCGCGCTCAAGATCAAGACCATCGAGACGCCAGTGAGTCGTCTCGAATTCACGTCGTACACATATCAATAGTCAATGATACAAGCTATGTACAGTGTCGCCCAGACCAAGCAACGGAAAATGATTGGTTGGTCACGTGACAATTCTCTCGCACGTGCATTGTACTGTACAAAGTCACGACGAGTCCTCTACATGTTTATTCGCATCACTCTCGCTTTGTATGTACAGTAACCTCCGCTATTTGATAATCAGCACGCAACTAGTCTCGACGATCGTTACGTTATAAACTTTGATTTGACGTAATAATCATTTCCGTAACCATGGGAACGGCTCCAGCCAACGATACTTGATATTCGTAAACATCGGGAATCGCGATCTGTCGGAAGAAAACTCGGCGTCGCGCTGGTCATCGACGCAAGGTAACGCAAATCCTAGGGACGAGAATCGCGAGATGAGCGCTTCTCCTCGCCGTCGTAGGTAGGAAAGCCCCGAGGCTTTATTCGTTGAGCCGATTCGTTGGGGCGACTTTTAACACGCCGATTTCACGATACCGAAAGCACAAGTGCGGGAGAGCCCGCTTTGGGCGAACCTTCGAACGCGTCAGAAGCGTCGCGAATAATCCCCCCCGAGACGTTTCATTCCGAGACGCATTTCGCGCGACGACGGTTTCTTACAAAAGAAAGGGCAGTCTGTGAAGGATTTCTATTTCTGTGTGTGGTATGTTGATTGTTTTTTTTTCTTTCTTTTTTCGGTTAAAAACGTACGTACTAAGGATCGTCCGCCACGTCACTGCGTCCCTCACAGAGCTTGGTCCGCTGCACTTCGTTTGCACTGCGACTCCTCTCGTCGTCACTCCCGAGCACTCGACGAACGAATACGCGCAGCGTGTGACAACAGCACGCGAAGCGAAATCGATCTATCGCGGTCGGCCGAGCGACTTTCTTTTGTTTGTTCTGTTTTTACCAGAAGCGCGTGTCCCGTGCGACGATATTTGCGACAGTGGATCACCGCGTTCACTCTCTGGGCGTCCTCCCGACCGTGGTGTGTAATGTCTGACTTTCTTTGTTTTACTTATTCTCTCGTTAGAGGATGCTCGGCTCACAACACGGCTGCTCACCTTAGCAGATTCGCGACTACGAGGGTGATGCTAGCGAGTAGAATGGTCGGGGCCACTCCGCAGCTGCCGCCATGCTGCATCGCCGCCGGATGCTCGCCTGCAGCAGAAATGTGCAAACCGCATTTAGTCAGTCTTCCCTCGGCTATTTCGAGTCTCTCTTCTCTAGAGATTTGGAATCTTTAGTTACGCCGTACATAGTTACGTTTACATTCAGAGAAACAGACACGGTGATGGCGACTACATACAGGATGTCTTACTGCCGAATATCGAAGGGGCATATAGTAGACATTAAACCGAGACGAAAAGTCCTTCGTCACCTTTCCGTACGAGCGATAGTTAACGAGTTATTAATTAATTGAGTTTGACACTTAAGCGCGCCCTAATTGGCGGAGTACAGGTAGCGCCGCGCGTCGAAGAAATGCGAACTCCTGTTTCTTAGACTAGCTTCGAGGCATTCTGATCAGTGATAGCAGCAGCTCAATTAATTAATAAGTCGTTAATCATAACCTTTGATTAATTAATTCATTAATTAATCATTCGTTAACTATTTGTTAACTGTTTGTTGGACCTGCGCCTTTAACTTCATTGGAATGGTTATATCAAAGTTGAGGAAAAGTTAAAGAATATTTTATATAAGTAGAGAAAGTAACAAAATGTGTAATTTTTCTTAGTTAATTCACTAATGTATGTCATTAATCGGAATATTTATTTTTCCCTATTAATGACAACTTGAATAAATATGACAAAATGATAAAAAACGTTCACATTTCAAGGAAATGGAAAAAAATGGTTTGTAAATTTTACGTTTTCTCTAGTCAAAAGGTATTTAATTTATTCATTGTCACGTTAATTCAAAATTTTTTCTTGATGTTAATTTTTTCTCGTTAAGCATCTTGCCGTTTGATGACACATCGATGTCGTGAACGACGGGAGCAGCAGAGAAAATGATCGCGCGCGTTGAAACAAATCCCATTATATTTCAGCAGCTAATCCTAAATAAACCACGTCAGACTCGTCCCATTGAATATTATCTTAGAGTAGCTACATAACGCAGGAGTTTAATTGCGCGGCCCTAATTAGATTCACAATGTAGGTTAATCGCTCGTATAACGCGTTAAACGCTAAGCAGGAACTTTCTAGCCTACCGGCAATCTCGCAGGCAGCTCCTAAATGAAATAACCGGGAAAATAAAATGCAACGAAGCGAGCGTTTGCATTTTCCTCTAAAATGAACCTTCAAAGTATTCAGCTAGCAGCGAACAGCGTGTATTATGACGATGTTCAGTGTGTTTCAAATTTGTCGTCTGAATATTTCGCCGAACTCTCTTCCTTCACTATCCTTTATTATATCAGAAAAATCTTCCTTCCCAGTCTCGCGTGTTTCCACAACGGGGATCGTATATTCAATAACTAACGCTGCTTTCAAGCACGTCTTGCCTCAAGTTTCCCGGATAAAAGTCACGTGACCTCGGCAACAATAATACACGTAGATACGCAACGACCGTGCGATCATAACAATCCTTGATGCGAAAGTAAGTACCTCGGGAGACGTCGTACAGTGTTGTGTAGTGCCCGTTCTTATGAACAAAAATTGATATTTGAAATCTATTCGTCCATATCGATTTAAAATTTTACATATATACATACGTGAAAACAGTGTTTCCCTTATAATCACTAGCCAACTACGTAAAACAATTAAGATAGTTATTGAGAAGGGAATATGTCAATTGCGGAAAAAAAAATTAAATCCTCTGTCGTTCTGCGTATAAAAGTATTAGAATAAAAACATCGAAAAGTAAATATTTTTCGAGATGTATTACTATAATGTTCAGTTCCTTTTTTTTAAATATTTGACGTTCATAATTAGAATCGGGATACTCTGCTACTCTGTTTTTATGCCAACCGGAAAAATACACTGCTTGAAACGATTAGGGGATCGCTTCTTTAAATACCCGTGTTATTTAGCAAACACTTAATACTTGAGGCTTCCGCGACGTAAAATAATATTTGCTTGGGCTTCCGATTGGAGTCGCGTCTTTTGTCGAATTGCTTCTAGCCTTTCGTGAATAATTCAGTTTACTTCATTGGGAAGAGGAGCAACCTGATATTGAATACCTGTTTCTCAAACTATCGAATACTCCTTTCTCTTAATCTCTCAGTAAACGTCTTCATGTAAATATTTTGACACTTGTTAATTTGATCAGATACAGAATTATTCAACGGAACTATTTATTCCATGTAATGCCTTAATTGTTTCAAGTAGGATAAAATGCACGTCAGAAATGCACTATTGACGGGGAATTCGCGACTTCTTATTTCGTTTGCGACAAACTTTGCTATTGACGCGATCTTCGGTTTCCTGAATTATTTATACACGATGGTAGGCGAAATCACAATGTTATTTTGTTAGAAAGAAATTACTGAATTCGTTACTTCTAAATTGTTTTATTCAAAAGTTAAAATCTTTGCGAAATGTGAACTTCGTTTGTTGACAAAGTGTCCATGAAACGGTATATTGTCTTTGCCTTTCTAGGTCCTGTCGAGAAAAAACATCGTAGTATTCGATTTACGATTGTTTACACGCAACTCACGAGTATACCTGCTAAATATTAGGCTGCTATTGCGCGCTTTTCGTGACATCATCAAGTGCCGTTAAAATCATTGTGATCGCGAGTGCAGTGTAGCGAGTGAGTGCAATCGATGTGGGACGACGCTATGGAGGCTAGAAAACTGGACTAGCTACTAGGAATCTTGAATGGAACGAGCTGACTTCCCGGCAGCTCGGTGAGTGAGAAAAATGGGTATGAGTAGTGCAAGGTGGTGGGTTTCTTGGTGATGGGTATTTGTAAAATCTCATCAATATCAATCGCGCGCTCGTGATATCTCTTATCAAGTCCCATAACGTTTCTACAAATTAAAGAAAGGTGAAATGAGATTATGAGAAGGGTAAAATCTCGAAAATATTCTGAGTCAGAGGAAAGGATATTTTTCAAAGCGAAAAGCCGTCAATGTAGCATTACTCGCAGCGTCTATTTGACAAGCTCGCGATGAAATCGGTCGCGATAGATTCATAAAAGCGACTTTCACACGTAGTCGTAACGTTCGCGACGGGAGCGCGTTTAATGTACGCAAGGTGCGCCCAGTCGGATATAAAACGCGCCACGAGTCGAAACGAAATATCGCTCTGTTTGGCAATAACAGTGGCTCCGTCGGCCGTTATACCTGGCAAAACAACAATTTCGCGCTCAACAACGACGCCGTGCAGTATCGCCGTTGCGCGCGACATTCGGCGGCAATAAAGATAATCACGGATCCGGCGGCGGCATGACGATGGTCCCACGACGCGGTAAACGTCCTTTGGAAGGGCTGCGATTTATTAGCAAATTGAAAATCTCATTCAGCAAAGTTATACGTTTACCTGGACCGGAAAAATGACACTAGAGTTGCTTATGTAAGAGTTAGGATACTAACAAGTAAACCTACCCAAAAGGTATACTTCGATTTCTTTCTAATTAGCCACAAATGTAAAAGTACAAAAAATATTTAGGTCATATTTTTCATTAGCCCACTTTGAGTTTCATAGGCAGCTTATAGCTTTTTAATGTTCTCACTCCTATCATCAACTAGTACAACAAAAATGCATAAGAAATAAAATTGAATAATAAGAAATAAAATTGAATAATAAGAAATAAAATTGAATAATAAGAAATAAAATTGAATAATAAGAAATAAAATTGAATAATAAGAAATAAAATTGAATAATAAGAAATAAAATTGAATAATAAGAAATAAAATTGAATAATAAGAAATAAAATTGAATAATAAGAAATAAAATTGAATAATAAGAAATAAAATTGAATAAAATTAAAACAATATATGGTTAAATAATTTAAACAAAATCAACATAGCTGAGAACCATTCTAAATTTCTTTAGCCAAGATTCCAACCGAAATATTTCAAATCTGTGCTAAATTAGTCAAAAATGGTTCGAATCTCGGCCAAATTGAGAAATTATTGGTATAAATAATTTTTTTCAACTTTGTACATGTTTTGTTTAAATACTTATTATTTACAAGTAATTTTACACATTTTACTTCATATTCATAATCAGCAAGCCAAAAACGTTTATATCTTGTATTCAATTTTATTTCTTATGCATTTTTGTTGCACTGTTGATGATAGGAGTGAGAACATTAAAAAACTATAAACTGCTCGCGAAACTCAAAGTGGGCCAAAATAAAAAAATATAACCTAAATATTTTTTGTACTTCTACATTTGTATCAAATTAGAAGGAAATTGGGGTATAATTTTTGGGTAGGTTTACTTGTAAGTGATATGTAATTCCTGACCGGATCTTGTCCGCCATTGAAAGAGAAGAAGCGAATGAAAGTGCGAAAGATGTTCTATCACAAGTGAGAGAGAAGCTGTAATGATTGAAATGAAACGAAACAGCTTCTCTCTCACTCTCGTTCGCTTCTTCTTTATTGATGACTGACAGCATTAGGTGTTCTAAACCAACTAGAAATTTTGATAAGTTACACTTGATATTGTACAAGGACCTAATTAGGTAGAGTGAACTCCTTCTAAGTAGGACATAAGGATATGATGAGAAGTGAATAAGGGAGACTTTTATAAAGTTACGATAGTTAGAACTATCAGAGGTCCATATTAGGAGATTCTAATATGTTAACTTCCAAACTAGAAATTTTGATCAAGTATACCTGATATTGTACAATGACCTGGGTAAATGTAAGACAATCTTAAACAGGATATATATAAGTATAATGAAAACTAAATAAGAAAGATTTATAAAATTATAACTAGGCCCATCATAAGTTCACATCAGGATGCTAATGTATTAACTTCCTAAATGATCAGAAACATCTGATATTGTACAAGAACGAAGATCAGACGAAGAACAAGATGAAAATCTGACAAGAGTCTGACGATAAATCCTAAATAAAGTTCTGATTACCACGTTACATGACCTCTTAAGATTATTCTATAGAAACCTGATCAATGATTGAAATCAATCTTATCAACTCCAGCCCATAGGATAAGTTTCGACTACTCTGAAGGACATCGTCAACGGCTGCTGCGGGGCACGGTCGACACGCGTAATTGCGTTAATGCGCAGAGAGTACGTGCCGGAACGGATAACCCCGGGGTCGCGTACGGGTTTATCGGGAAATAATTGAAATTTGCGGTCAATTTTGCAGAGTAATCAGCTGTGTTTGAAATAACGTCGATGGCCAATGCGCCGACCGCCGGCCGGTGCGCCTTGTAAATTAATTATGCAGACGAACTGCGCCGCATTAATTTTCATCCGGCACCGGAAGCGGCCGCACCGCGAGCGAAGCGAGCGCGCGCTCACCGGGCGTTTCCGCACGAAAGTGGGCGCGATCGATGTCTCGATGGCTCGAGGGGGTGGCCAGCGTGTACGCGGGCGAGCCAGGGCGGCCGCGCGCGCGACGGCTGCGTGGAAAGCGGCGAACGTCGAAGAAAGCTTGTTAAGTTTTGCAATTCGATTGCCGTGCAAACGCTCCGCGCGGCGGCCACTCCGTTGCCCGGGACTCGCCGGAGGGGTTTGTTGATTTTCGCCGGCCGACGTGGGCTGCTTGAATCCGAAAACATTAATTTAATCAGGGCCGGCGGGAGAGAGGAGACCCCGTACTGGTGTTGTAAATTTATTGCGCCGGTCGGGATGCACACGGCGTCAGTGTCGGATGCAGCGAAACGAAAGTTACGGAATATCGACGACCGCGACGCGCTCTTTTTTCACTGAATAGGCTACCAAGATATACGCACGTTCGCGCACATGCAAGTGTACAGGGTGGGCCGATAATTCTGTGTCGTCATTTCGAACAGGGAAGTATCTACAATAGTATCTACAGTTTCACGAAGGAAACGTAACGTAGCGACAATGATCCTTTTGTGAATGAAGGTATAGGGAAGGCTACCGGAATAAGTTGGCGAAATCGATTATACTCTTCCTTAACAGATTTTAGAATCAAGCAAGCAGGGATTTCAGTCATTTTTGACATGTTTAGAATCTTGTTTGCTTAATTCTACGATTTATTAGAAAATAGCAGAAGTAATCGATTTTATCATTTTATCCCAGTAGCTAGCTTTGGTTTTCTCTGTGTAGGAGATTTCAATGTCGTCTTCAATTTTTTTCAGGTTTTTCTAACACATTCCTCTAATGATTCTGCGTATGAGAACACTAAGGTGGAATGATCGAGAAGTGAATATTTTCCGAGATATTTTTCATTTTATTCTGATACTTTTCAGTGCAAGATACGAAATATCTCGTAAAATATTCACTTTTCGACAACCTCACTTGGATACTTTTGTACGTAGAATAACGGGTTAAATCGATTGTAATAAAAGAAAAAAAAAAACACAAATTTTGAACAAGATTCCGTTGCATTTTACAGATTCATTAATGCACAAATATGCAAAAACTAATATCACCGATCGATTTTTCTCGTCATTCTACGTACAAAAGTATCTAGTTCGGAGAAAGTTGTCAGAAAATGAACAGTTTACGAGATATTTCATACATATTTTGCATTAAAAAATATCGAAATAAGATGAAAAATATCTCTGGAAGTGTACATATATTCTTCGGTAACTTTTCTCCAACACTTTCACGCGCATATTGCAGAAATTTATTTGCGTCAGAAAAACTATATGATTCCATTGAAAAAATTTAAAGTGACTCTGAGATCTCTCACAAGTCTCCACTCACAAAGGAGGAATCATTACATCGCGTCTCTTTCGAGACTTTTGTGGGAAAACTATTTTCCTGTATTGTTTGAAATAGCGGAGACACACATTTGGAGGCGGACAGAATTGTTGGATCACCCCGTATACATACATATAAAGTACACACCCGGGGTTATTTGCCCGACGATCGCGCGTATATTCTGTCGTCGTTGATAAAATGTCGACAATAGCGTCTGGTATCTTTGTTAAGAATCGATCTCTCGATTATAGCGCGCGCGCGAGGGAGACAGGGAGGAAAGGGGAGACGTGTGCAAACGGTTGACTTGGAACAGCTGCAGTTTCGGCACGAGTTCCATCAGACGCGTGCCGGGGCAGCAAGCCCGCGATGATTGACAGCTCGGATTGGTGAACTTGCCGAACAAGATATTACATGTGTTATCGTGAACGTTGCCGGCTGACAATAGATCAAAAGCGAGAGTATGCGTGCGGCGCCGAGTACTTGCCGCGACTCCAATATACGAGCCTGTCAAACTTTATGACGGCGGATTTCGATACTTGATGAATGAGAACGCGCGGGCGTCCCTTTCGAATGTCACACACTTCAGGAGCCTGACTTCCTGTCGCTAAACTTGTGTCGCGCGAGTGTGGGAGCGTTTATTGGCGCGAAATTTGTCGGCGGCGCGCGAGATCGCATGCCAGCGCAATCCAGAAGCCGTTGGAAGATTTTGCCAGCCCCCGAGGAGCCGCTATTGAACAGATTTCTTCGAAAGGATCGCCCGACAATGAGCGGGATGACGCGTGGGATATCTGAATTCCGTTCGCGCAGCTTTGCTAAATTCAACCGCCACGTCCCGGGCGATAATGACACGCGAGAAGTTCAAAAGGGGGTTTTGGAGTATTTACAAATGTATGATAATCGATCAAACGCGAAGAAAGGGCCTCGACTGACGCGAGTAGACCGCGCGATCGATAAGAGGAAGAATGTATTTTCAGCTACAGGGTGTTCCAGCTCGACTTCACAATCTCTCGTGAGGGCGTACGGTGGATTGTGAACGCAAAAGTCCTGTATCGCGTATGATCCTTCACCAATCTTCTTTAATTAATATTTCGAGATTTATCGCGAATATCGCTAAACAGTATGGAACTTTTATACTCTCCTCAATCCGTTCTACATTCCCACGAACGTTGCGGAGATATCGTATCGCGATATTCGGAATAACTATCTAGATATGCATTAAAGAAGATTTGTAAATGATGACGCTTGATATGGTAAATCCCTCTATATACAGGGTGTCCCAAATTCATCTCCGCAACATTCGTGGGAATGTAGAACGGATTGAGGAGAGTATAAAAGTTCCATACTGTTTTGCGATATTCGCGATAAATCTCGAAATATTAATTAAAGAAGAATTGGTGAAGGATCATACGCGATATGGTAGACGAGTTTTAGTGACGATGTGTATTGTTGTATATATTAGGTCCAACTGAAAAAATATCCTTTATTATTTTGTGAATAACTACGTTAAGGAAAATTGTTGTATGATTGCGCGCGACAATGCACAAATCTTCCTTAATTAATATATCGACATTTATTGCGTATATCGCAAAACGGCATGGGACTTTTGTGTTTACCTCAATCCGTTCTACGTTCCTACGAGAAAAGAATCTGAGACACTCTATATGTGTGTGTATATATCTATATTTTTTTTCTTTTTTTTAAATGATAGAGCGATATGCATTCATTTCGCAAACATAATACGGGGAGGTTATTATCCTCCGCATTAATATGGTATAACAAATGAATGAGAGAGCTGAGTTGGCATACGATAATAATACATCAACTAATTACTGTATAATTACGAGTAACGTATTCCAAATATGTACCTTTGCGAGTAAAGCAGATGGATCGGGACGTGAAAATATATCGCAAACAGTCGCAATACCCATCTATTTTCCTTAATTAAAAATACAGAAATGAGAAGGGGAAGTGAATAGTTTAAATCACTGTGACACGAAATCGCACTCGATTTATGGAAAAAGTTGGCACCGTCGCGAAGGCACGCGACGAGAATGAAGCCTCTGTTCAACTTCTGACAAACGAGTGTTGTTTTACGCGACAGCGCGCAGTATTTTAATATATATCGGTCGGGACATTCCTTCTTTTTCCCCCTCCGCGCGAGTGGAATACCCAAAGCGCGAATACCAGCCGGATCGTTCTCTAATCGAAAACAGGCGGTTAGCCGCGGATTCTAATCGAATCTGACGCGGCGAATGTGGAGGTGTAGGTATTACAAGCATGCCGGCGTGGAAATGTTTATACGCCGGCGATTTTTCCGCATACGATGGTGTCTCTCGAGTGTGCATGTGCGCGCGACGTTTATCGAAGAGCATGCACCTGACGCAGCGGCTCGAATCAACTCGCGTGTACTTCTTCGTCGCCGGAAAGGAGAAGGGAGGAAACGGAAAAGTGAGACCAACGCGCGAGAGGGAGAAAAATCTGTCAGCGCGAGCGGAGTCGTCGTAGGCGAGGACGAAGAAGATTTCGCGCGCGCGCAATTTATACGAATAAATCAATGGAATTGCAAACTCCGCCGCGTACGTGGAAGGTGCTTAACGGTAATCCGACGAGATGTAGAAGCAATTACATGGGTTACATTCGATAATGTTTGACTTTCTTTTCGACTTGATTCTCTGATATGCGTGATATGCTCTCGATCTTGCGTGAGATCAACTTTTAATCTCTAAAAGAGACGTTCTCTTTCTCACAAAATATTACAAAAATTCGCACGATTCGCGTTTTTCGAGGTCGTTTGAAGTTGGAATTGCAAAATCAAAAATGGCGTATCCAATATGAGAGATTTCCGGCATTCTTCAGACAATTTATATAAAAATGGAATAAAATAATAGTAATAAAAAGTAATAAAAAGTAATAAAGTTAATTGGTGGAATATGTTTGGTTAGATAAAATGTTACAGCTTGACTCGTCCCGCGTTATTCGGTTAGTTCGTTTACGTGGGTGAATCGCATTATAACGTGGAACGCGTAAACTGTCGGAAACTTGTCTCTGACTTTGCTTATCAAGCGGGAGTCTGCGTCTGCGTTTGCGAACGGCATGTCTCGTGTTTGCTGAATAGAAACTAATTGATCTTTAAAGCACGCCGAACTTCCGATTTAGGCGCTCGCAATTCCGCACAGCAGTGGCGTAATTTAATCCGCATCGTGTCACCTTGCAGGCGATAGAAGCCGAAAACGCGATATGGAAGAAGGAAGAAGAAAGTAATAAAACAAACGGATAAAATGTATTTAGGCTCTGTGGTAGCAATCGATTAAAATTTTCTTATCACCTAATTCCACCTAATCAACACTATTAATCGGTAAATAAATAATCGATAAATCAATAATCAAAATTATAATCAATCGTCATATATAAAGTAAAAACTAATTTCATCGACTGATGAAATCGATGATCGGGTCTGAGATATAGAAAGTAGGGAAAACAGACTCATCATTATTGGCGTGAAATTTGAATTTTATTTCGGGAAGATGCATTGGGAGAAAAAAAATTTAAAAAGTAAAAAAATATTTACGGATATTGATAACATATTTGCTTAAATCTAAATTCTTTTATTTAAATCAAACAAATAATTCCTTTTATGAGAAGCCACGATAGGACATTGCATATATTTTTTTATTTTAAACATATCTTATATTTGTATAAATACATCATTAATACTCACGGAGTAAACATTTTTTATTTTTTAGATATTTTTTCTCTCACAGTGTAATATAATCTCAATTAATTTAGTATCACCCGCTTGCTCCTAACTATCTCCCTTATTAATTAAATAATAATAAGCATTCCTCTATTTTTTCAAAATATTCGACAGTATTCGACGCAACATTGGTAGCCAACAATAATTATTTATGCATCGAATTATTATGAGAAATATCCGATTTATCTGACTAGAGAGGTGTGTGAGCGAGTAAATTGGGAGAAAAAGTAAAGGATTCCGGTCCTGCGCCGCGAGCATCCGCGTTCGTTGAAAATTTCGTAAATTATCGCAACGCGCGGGAAAGCGGCTCGGCAGATAATACTTGTGATATATGGAAGTTCTCGGGACGGCGGGGGTTATCTGAAAATTTTCACCGTGGATACTCGGACATTTCCATCGCGATATGTCATTAAAGCAGCCCCCGAGTATACGAATATCCGGACGCTTCTGCCGGCCACGTCGCGAGAGATGATGGGCCGCCGGATAAGTCCGAGCCACCGAAAAAAAAATCGCTTACCATTCAGCACGTGGACCATTACGCTCGCTGGGTTCGCGTTGCTAGGGATGCAGGTGTAATTTCCGCTGTCGGTCAATCTGGCCTGTGTCACCAGTAGTCTGCTCGTCGTGCCGCTTTCCGTTTTCTCGGTCTCCAGGGAAACCCCGCCCCTGCGGTGAACACTGAATTATCGCAGATACTTTGGCGCCGTTCTCGTCACACACGTTGCTACTTTATCATTAATCCTCTCTCTCTCTCTCTCTTTTTCTCTTTATCTCTCTTTCTATCTCTCTCGCCCCTCTCTGCGGAGAAGCTTAGGCGGAACAAAACGTCCGTAACAAGCGTAGCGCGCGTTACAATATTGCGATCGTCGCGTTTGTTGACGGATCCGACGCGTGAGCGCAGGGTAAATAAAAAAGAATTGATTCGCACCAGGTGCTTTTCTGCAAAATTGATGTATGGCGTGCGCCAAAGACGCGAAAAATTATGATCGCGTCGCCAAAACAAACTCATAGCGTGATGTTTTTATTTATGACGCTGACGCAACTAACTACGTGGATGACGTTGTATTAATCTTTGGCAATGCCAGCGTCGCGCTTTTTCGCTATCGGCGCAGAAAGAGAGAGAGAACGAGGAGGAGAGAGAGCGAGAGCGAGAGAGAGAGAGAGAGAGAGAGAGAGAGAGAAAGAAAAAGAAACAGGGATAAATATAATTATTTTTCTGTAGATAACCGTACGATCGAAACTGCATAGAAAAGAACGATGTTACAAAAAAGGCTAAACATTGTTTATTTCTTATAAGAAAAATGTATGAAATCAATCTGTTTTTGTTTTTGAGTCTGCTGAATTCAACTTACGTATTTGTTAAAAAAAACGAAGTTTTTCTGTAGAAAAACTGAATTTTTATAGACTTCCCTGCATTTTGGACAATTTTAAGTTTCACATTCGAGTTCAGCAGACCTAAAAACATAAAGATAGAATAGATTTCATACATATCCCTTATAGGCAAATTTTGGCTCTTTTTCGGTATTGTTCCTTCCTGAGATCCAGTTTGATTTCCTAAAATAATTATAGCTCGCGTAGGAAAATTTTCTGGGATCCAATTAGAGTCTATTCCGATCTGCTTAAAGCTGATGGTTTCTAATCGTGAAATCTACGAAGATTCAACTTGCAATGTCTCAAAAGTGCGAAGTGAGAAATCAAAGCAGATTCCATTTTCTTTAGCGAGCGTTAACGAATTTTGGAATAAATCAAGGAATTTGTTCCAAGATATACGAAACCCCGGAATAATTGGGATCTTTGCTGCGTACGGGAAGATACCGGCAAATTTCACTACGCGGGAAACATTCTGGTGATAAAGCAACGTGCATCTGTGCACACAGTTGCACAATAATGTTTACGAATGCAAACTCTACACTTGTAATTGGCTCTCAACGCTCTGCACTTTTACGATCGGAGAGTCTCGCGATCTTCCATCTGAAGCTACTTTCGTTCCGCACGAAGTTACACTCGAACTAATTCCGGGCAAAATTGCCGGATCAAAGGTCGCCCCGCTTTTTTGATTCCGGACGCTCTCTCCTCGAACTGACTAGCAGGCTACGGACGGATTAAAGGTGAGATACTTGGACGCTTTCCGCCCGATTGGCGATGCCGCAGAGTGGCGACCCGAAAAATCAACCGCGGCTTCCTCTTCGCCGGGGTTGGGAAGGGATGAACGCGCGAAACACACCGTCGAGATCCCCGAGCGGTTGTACGCGACGATAACGGCGGCGCATTCGCCGATCGAACGGAAATGTGTGTACATGTGAAAGAAGAGGATGGAGAAACGGTGGGAAGAAGGGGGAGGGAGAAAGAGAGCGAAACTGAGAACTCGATTCTCGCGGCTTGTACCTGGGACTGTCGAAATCCACCACGGCTGCTCCGTGATGCCACGAAACGCTGCTGGGCGGTGTACTTTGCACATTAACGGTGCACATGAGGCTTATCGTGCTACCCTTCTTCACATAGACGTCTTCCGGCCCCAGGATTTTCGCCTGAGCAGCTGCAACACACCGTGGAAACCGTACGCTTAAATATCCCGTACTCGTGTCCACCTGCGCTAATTAACGGGCCGCGATCGGAGCCCGCATCGGGCTATCGAGTCGCGCGTCGCTTATCGATGTGCCGTATGACAACGATTTGTTTACGAGGCATGAAATTTCGTGATATTTTTTCTGCTTGATCGTGCGGTTAATAGTTTCTCTCCTTCTTTTTTTGCCCAACTGACCAGTTTGCGTCAGCAACGTGGCGATCACGATAGGTCGGGTTGATTGAAAAATCGCCGCAGCGTTCTGCACATTAATAGGTATTTTTTTTTTATTCTCTTTGCTTCTTACTCTCTGAAATTCTCCTCGAGTGGAATCTCGCACGAAACGAACGAAAAGTCATTATATTTTTTTACTCGAAACGACGATACCGCCGCTCGAAATCGCAAGAATAAACGTTGGTTCAAAATGTACAAAAATTACTTTTCAATACAATGTGTGTGTATGCTCTCTTGTAATTATTCTCGTCTAATGTTCTTGCAATTGTCTTCTTCATTTAAAATTAATTTTTTTTTCAAATTTCACGAAGGTCATACTCTGTTACTGTCGGCTCCTGTCATGATCGATTACTGCACGCACACGTCTGCAGTGGCTTTCAATTCTGACAATTTGAAGCGTTGTAACTTTGATAATAAAACGTATGCAAATTGTTCAGCAATCAGGTGTACTCTAATGTAGACTTCACTGCCTAGGTATAGTGACGTGGAAAATTTCCAATCGGATACATGTCTGAATATTCGTGCATCATGACTGTTGACTATGTCAGTGCATCGCCAACGAAGTAGTTGTGATGCGCCTGGAGTTGAAAATTCTCGATGTCACTATGCTCAGAGAGCAGAAGTGTATTATTGGAGTAACTTATCAGATTCGCTTTTCAATTGGGAGAACTCATTGATGAGTGTGAGTATGAGTGAAAAATCATTCAAATTCGATGATCAATACTCGGTGATCATTCCACTTCTCGAATAAAATTTTACTTTAAGGAATTTAGAGGGCAGGCCGGAAATAGTAGGCAAAACTAGTTATTCTAGTATTTTTTAACAAGTTACAAAATTAAGCAAACAAGATTTTCAAACGTATCAAAGATGGCTTTGAAATTTCTGTTTGCTTGATTCTGAAATCTGTTAAAAAACAGTAGAAATAATCGATTTTGCCAACTTACTCCAGTAACCAAATAGCCCCGGTCTCTCCTACATTAAGATATCTTGGAATTTTCCTGAATCTCTCATCAATTTGTGAAGATGTTTTCGTGCGCAAGTTTATATTTGCAATGCGAAAGATATGTTATACACACGTGCCGGAGAAAATGTTCGTATTATCAATTCCGCATCACCGCGTGCGCTTGCAAGTTGGGCGATATTGACGCGTTTCTCTGTTAGTACGGTATATCTTATCTCGGGAAAAAGGGGCAACGCGAATCTTCGCGTTGGTATCGAGCCGACTAGATTATTACTTCGTGTCTCTCGATATAAAGTGTCCCGCCAGATATACCAATATCATCGATTCCACTCGAGGTATTACAAAGTTATCCATGTCGTAAGTTCGAGGATATCTCCGATTAAATGAGCCGATATAAATAACGCGTTTCCGCGACGCGTGTCGAACTTTCAACCAATTCTGGGAGTCGTTTTTCGTAAGGTGCAGTTGGCGATATTTCGATCGCAACTTAAGGAGCAATTTAGAAGTAAAAGTAAAATTTACGACTCTTACGCGCACCAATAAATGCTTCAGATAAAAAGTAGAACCCGGATGGATTGATTTATTGTAATAAAGATACGCGTGCAGAACGTGTTCGGTATATACGTGACCAATTAGTAGTTCCCTGAAACGTATGTAGAAGAGAGAATGCATGAAAGTTATTATACATAAAGCTGCCCCGCGACTTTCATTTATACCGACGTATTCCCCGAACAATTGAGAGCTAATTTCTCCCAGCGAAAACGTCAAGCCATTAGTAGTTACAGAAATAACAAACGATCGAAAAAGCGGGGCTTTTTGTAAACTGAACTTCGAATGAAATGGGTAACATTGTTATTTTCCTCGCTCAATTTCGCTTTGCTTTAACAGAATTTTATTCTGGGCTTAGAAAGATATATTGAAAATTTGAAAATCGCCATGAATATCTAAAAAAAATTATTGCATCTAATTATATGTGAATTTGTAGAATCATATGTAATCATACGAGATTATGCATGTCTACACGGAAAGAAAAGCTGTTGTACAAATATAATTGGCCGTAGTTATGCAAGAATGATCCAACCCATATATCTGAAGTACGTTTTTCTCTTTAAAAACATTTATTGACTAGCGCTTAATTCTTAAAAAAATAAAAAATAAGAAAGCCAAACTAGTAGAAAATAAAAATTGGTTTTTATTTAAGGCACCCATAAGGCTTGAATTTCTTTTGTTTTACAGAAAGTATACACTATCCGTTGGAAAAAAGCATAAACTCAGAAATCATAATTTTGTGGATTTGGATCATCCTTCCTCTCCGCAGCTCTGCCGGCCCTTAATTAGTGGCCAACTTTTCGACATTTTCGATGAGGGAAATTGAGCTCTGAATTACTCGGAGAATTACTCACGATATAAATTAATGGATCACTCTGCGTATATACACATACCGGTATCGATCGGCCGGCGATTTTTGCGCGCGTTCGCACCAACGGCAGACACTTACGTCAGCAGTTGGATACTTACTTGTTGCACGGACCTTTGCTGCAATCACTTTGGGAAACACAAGAGACATGTGACCATGCAAAGTCGCGTATAAACAAGGGATCGATCTGCGAACATATTCTTGAGAAATTCTCTACACAGGCTACGGGTCTCTACCGGCTACAGCGTGCTCCGCCATCGGCAAAGTAACTCGTAACCGTAAACAGCGAAAGGATCTACGAATCTTAATAAGTTGAGGCCGTCCAGCTGTCGCCCCCGTCGGAGATTTTCGAGTTTCCGCCGTTGCGCGAAAGCCATTCTCACGTGCCATTCGCCGAAACGCTTAACGCACGCGGGTTACATTTACGGCCGGCAATACTACGGCGGGAAATTAGCGCGCGTTAGCGTCAGCTGCATTTGCAAAGAAATATTTGCCGATAGTCCCGGGTATTTCATGTAACGATGCCCGAACGAACGAGCGAACGAAGAGCTGGTCCGTTTCACCTTCCTCAACGCTACGACCTCAACTCATTGGCGGACGAAAGGGCGCGGCCGTTAATTTGCGTTATACTATGTATATATATATATATATATATATATACATATATATATATATATATATATATATATATATATATATATATATATAGAAAGCGTCCATGCATTCTGTTATGGCACGTAACTACACAACGCAATAAAACTTCTAGCCGCTAGCAAATTCAACAGCTTGGAAAAGGAGTCTGCTCTTGCGTGAGTCTAACCTGAGTTGAACGTCCGTTGAATGGCGTTCGGTGTGGTGGTGGCAGGGACAGGGGCACTTTCTGGAATGGGAGGACAGAAAAGATATCGAGTTAATCGATTTCGTCGAGATCTATTGTTTCGGGGCTGGGAATTGAACTAACGTCGAAAGCACTACCGATACCGTGTATGGGCCATGTATACCTGCCGAATTTCGAGCAGGAAGGATGTTGTCAACGAAGTAGTTTATTGTTCTCTTATTCTTACTTATCGACCGTATCACATCGTGGAAGTAACGAGGCTTTCGAGTGCCTTAATTATTCGATATTCTGGAGCGTTTCGCAAGTACTTAGGTATGTGACGTGTTCGAGCGTCAATATCAGAGACTCGCGGAAATTAGTGCGAACAATGTTCGGAGGAGCGGATTGTCTGAAATATATAAGTCGTTGTCGGCAAGTTGGTCTATCCGGTTCGCCGACATTGCTATATATTTTTGCGCAGATTAATCACGCTAAAAAGAAAATCCTAGCGATAAATAAGGTAGCATTACATCCTAATGAAGCCTATCAAAAGTCGACATTGTAAGCATTTGTAGACTAGACTCGAGACATTGAAATTTTCATGAGGAAATATTTCTTCGTATTAATATATCTAAATACATAGTGAGTTAATGCCTATTACCGTCTAAAATATCTTCGAAACAAGACGCAAAGGTGACTGTGAGATCTTCGAAGTTATTCAAAAAAGGCATAACTACTGTAATAAAAGCAATACTCAAATTCATTTTTGCACGTATTTTCTTTGTGTGAAAACACTTATAATTCTGTTGCAACCAATATCGTAAATTTTGCAGAAACAAGTCAGTATCTGTGTGGTAAAGTTATCAAGTATAGTATCCCCTTGATCAAATGTGAATTTTTCACGGTTGAATCGGAGGGATTACATCGATACGAAGAAAATAATTTCCCGCGCGAGATAACAACACCAGATAATCCAGATTAGATTAATTGCGGGACAAATAATTGTGACTATCAACTCCTCTCCTCCACTAGTTAATTCGAACGAATAGTCGAACGAAAAATTACGATGGGACTACCCTACATTTAGTTGAATGTACAACTACTTCATAGATGCTAATATTTGTATATAACGGCAGACATGATTCCTCTGTGGAGCTTTAGTATCGGAAAACGCATCGAGCTAAGTCCACGAAGTCGAATGAAGAGATCCTTAATCCTACCGAAGGTGTCCTCATTTGCATTCACGAGCGTATGCGCGTTAAAGGACGAAATCGATACTTCGCGCTGGTAATCAAAGTAACTGTGATATTATGCAATCGAAAGATGCATCAAAGCTAATTGATATTTCAAGATGTTTCTCATGTGACAGGCATGCAAGCGAAAGCATTAATCACTTTGCTCATGCTGGTGCGTATTTAGGTGTCCAGCGGTGTCTTTCCTGATCAGTCAGGTGATAGACACTTGTATAAAAGCGTTCAGATGTATTCCTGTATCTATCATAAATTACGCAAAATATTTACAGCGGCATAAAGTCATTACACGAGATCTAGTTTAACCCTTTCACAGTTTTTGCTTGGTTTGATCACAGGAATTATTGAAAGTGGAAATCGAGACAATAATTAATATAATTGACTGAACGTAATAAGAGCGTCTATATTGATAATTACGCTAAAAGTGGCACTGGAATAAAGGTTGAATAGCAGACTCTTCTAGTGGAATATATTTTTTACACGGAAAAAAATTCCAGTTCGGGTAACTGAACGGGCAACAGACGAGAAACTCGCTGACGAGAAATAATACTCCATTACTCTGTGACTGAAAACATTCGTCTGAACATTCAGCTGCATTAACACGTTCGCTACCACGATTTATTTGGGGAATTCTGTATAGACCGCATTACATTTGTTCTCGCGTAATTGTATAAAATAGACTTGGTTTATTTATACATGCGAATATGCAAAGAAAAATGTTGTTGTCATATACACGCGACGTTGGTAGCAAACACATATTAAGTAAAATTGAAAATTTTGGGTAAGGATAAACTTGGGAAGCGAGAGAGATCGTCGGCACACATGAGTGATATCGGTAGGGTTAAAACTCGGTTCAGATAATTTCGAGAGCAATTGATCTGCTAGCAACATTCTGTTCCTACAACTGAGTTTTTCATCTGATCCCCAAGTAACAGAAAATTCAGTTACGCTAACGATTTTTTTTCCGTGTAAGCATGTCTAATCGGCGCGTGAGACAAGATTAACTCGACTTTTATACAGTTTTTCTTTTCGTTCATTTAAATAAGCGGTCCATGAAAGGGTTATATCTGGCAGATGTCTAAGTATCTTATAACCTTGATGTTACCTTCGACTTTTAACATGAAGGCTAAGTTCATTTTGGGCTCGGTGTTAACCTGGCATTCGTAAACCCCGGCGTCCCGCGCCTGGACGTACTCGATTTTCAACGTCCACTGATCGGTCGTCTCGGGGTGCAGAACGGAAAATCTTCCGTCTCCCGTGTAAACTTGAATCGCCGACGTCAAGATATGCAAATCCCTTTTACGTATCCAGGAGACCTGCAAGCAAAGCGAATGGCGGGTTAAATTCCGTCCGACCGAAATCCGGCCATCTATTCGCTGATCCGAATAATTAATACGGACGACTTATGCGTCCGTAATCGCAACTGATCATCCTCCCGTAAGAGTTAGTGGAGACCGGAGATGTCTCATATTTCAGAATTTCGAAGTTACAACTTCTCTCTTACAAGTCACAACTAATCGTTGTGATTGATTGTACAAACATGATAAAGGCAGCCTTTTCCTACATGTTAATGTCAGCCAACCCTTATATTTTATTTTGTAATAACCAAAATACGAACATATAATAATATAGCCATCTTCCCGGTATCGAGTTCAGTAGTGCAGGGTAGAGGAGGTCACATATAAAATATGTATTCTGATTAGTAGTTCTAAAGTCTCACCGCGAGAGGCTCCACAGGTCTCTTGCCGATCCTTAATGGACCAACTTTACCTCATCTATTTATATGCTCGATTTCAATCATTTTATGAATGAAAATTGCATTACCAAAAACAATAATATCATACACGTGCAAGAAATTTTATTCTAGCCAGTAACGCTTAAGGGAATGAATAATTTCCCGACATAACATTGACTTTTTTTTGCAAAGTTTACGTCTTGTTGCTTGCACAGAATTACAAACGCTTTTACACAACAAAAGTGCATGTAAAAATTAATTGGAACATTACTCAATATGTGGCGAAAACGAAAAAAATATATTTAAATTTAAATTTTGAGCTGTTAATGCAATATTTATTTAATACAAACATTCTGCAGGTTATACATACCGAAATTGTGAATGCTCCAATCAGGAAAATTTCAAAGATCACTACTACACTTTCAGAATTTAGTTTCGATGCCAAAAGAGATAGGAAAAGTTTTCAGAAAAGTTTATGATTGCATGCGGTTAGATTTTCCGACAACTATGACAAAGTAGAGCGAAAAATTAGTTCACGGATATCTTTCGAGATAGCACTGTACTTTTATCGCACTTTTTACAACATTTGAATATTCAGAGTATATATATATATATATATATATATATATATATATATATATATATATATATATATATATATATATATATCACACACATATATATGTATGTATGTATATGTGTACACACACGCGCACATACACACACACACACACATGCGCGCGCGCGTGTGTGTGTGTATATTCAAATACATTATTAATCGATCAGAATTTGCAAAGCTGGTGATCTATCTCTATTAGTATCTGAATCTAACGGAAAAT